GTGTGAATTTCGGCGGATAGTTGGACGGGATAATTTAGTTTGGAGCGCCATGGTCCCGTCCATCGTGCGCTCCATCGGCGTTTTTTGAATAATGCCAAGTATTCTGTTGTTGATAAGTATTATATTGATATGGACAGTCTTTTCTGGAGTGTCCTTTTCTTCCACACATGTAACATTTTGTCTCATTTAATGAATATAAGTTGCGTTGGTTGCGTGTGCCTTGTGTTGAATAATATGATTGTCGAGGTGTGACATTATAATTGCCATTTCTATTCGACGTAAAATTTCCTCTGTTGTTTGATTTTGTTTGTTGGTTCGTTTGATGAGCTGACATTGTTTGCACCTCGTGATGATCATCGTTGTTATACATTGCTGTTGTTGATATATCATTGTGCAATAAGTCGTGGTTATCATTTCTATGTTGTTGTTTGTTTCGCTGATAGAGTATTTCTTCGATTTTTTGAGCTTCGGTGATAATTTCATCTAATGATTCACATAGGGATATTCCAATCATCGTTAATAAATTGTTTCTCATCTTACACATCAGGTGTCGAATGAGATCATTTTCTGTTTCATTCGGCTTTTGTTCTTGCCAGAGGGTACGAAGTCGAACGATGAATTCATTAATTGTTTCCTCTTCTTCTTGTTTACAGTCTTTCCATTGTTGTTCTTGTCGTGCACGTCGGATTGGTGAGTTACATTGATTGAGAAAAATTACCTTGAATTCGATCCAAGTTTGTGGACGTCGATTTGAGACACGTAGTTGGCAGTACCACTCAAGGGCCGTACCTTGAAGAAATTGTGAGATGCCGTTGAGAAGCAATTGGTCATTCCAATAATTTATTGTTTCTGCGTATTCTTTGGCTCGAATGAGGAATTGACGAGGACTTTCCAAGGTGCTTCCACTAAATGTTGGTATTGATGATGATGGTGGGATAATGATGGTGTGTGCTGTTTGAGCGGGACGTTCATTTAATAACATTTGTCGTGCATTATTCTCAGCCTGTTGTCTTTGTTCTGTTATATTGTGGTGATCGGATTCACCATTATCAAATGATTCATTGATTGCTGATGAATTAAGTTGTGTGTGAGGCGTGGATACGTTCTCTTCCATTAGTTGATTTTGATCATTTTTTCGTAATGCTTTTGTTTCCAGCGCCTCACAATTTGTTTTCATTTCTGTTCTCATATCTCGAATATTGTTTGTTAATTGCTCCCACTGTTGTTGTTTTTCTTCTAATTTGGACGTTGTTGTGGCTTGCAATTCTTCTGTTCTTTTTTGAATGGTTTCGATTTGATTTATCATTTTTTCTTGTACATTCATCATTTCATTTGGTACGTCCATGTTCATATTTTTATGCTGTTCTATTAAATTGAAGTGAATTTCATCTAGTTTTGTCTCGAGCGCATTCAGACGCCCATTGCTGTTGTTATTTGCTTCCGATAATTTTTGAACCGCTTGTTCAATTGTTACTTTTTCAGATGCCATTATTTCACTTAGCTTATTTATTTATTTTCGATTAGAAGATTGAGGTTTATTTTGACAGGGTCGCCATGTAACGAACAAGAAGCTATGTCGTGTTTTTCTATTATCCCTTTATTTCAATTTCTCACTTCCTTTTATAGGTCTGTTCCACTCCAGCGCACACTATCCACACAAACAGGAAGAGAACAGAGAGAGACAGCGATATACAGCTAAAGAGAGAGAGACAGCGCATGATAGAGGAACATATTATTATGTACAAGAATATCACTTATACTCGAAGATATGTATAAATCGTCACAGCGACGGCCTACATAAATGCTTCTGCTTCGCATCGCATTAAAAACTCGCGACGGACTACATAAATGCTTCTGCTTCGCACCGCATTAATAAAAATTTCTCATGATGCAATAGCTCGAAACGGGGTTACAATAGATATGAGTATATATACCAGTGAGTGGTTCTGCACTGCTTTCAATCTGTTTAGCACGTAATCAGAGTAGTTCCGTCTGTGTGGGTGTATAAATTTTCATTTTACACAGTAAACACTCACATCAGCTTAAATCCTCCCACACCCACACTCTCATAAAAGCAATCTACTTGATTAGAATATTCGGCAAGGGAACAGCCAGAATGTTCAGATGAGTCATCATCGGAATCGACCGCAGAATAATCGTATCTGCAGCGATACTGTGGCGGCGGTGGTGCGATTCGTGTGACAATGGGTCTCTCATTTCGACCCATTGGTGCAGTGTTGAAGCTCGATGGGTGATCGTCTCTGAAAATGGAAGTGAAGTCATTTCAAAACTTGAGAGTATTTCCACAATGACATCTGAGAAAGTAATCACTTATTTCGGTATGGATGATTGCAATTTTTTGGTCAGATGAAACGGTGTTATTTCATTTTGGATGAGTTGCAGGAACTTTCTTCGATAAGAATAAACTGCTTGAAATTGATAGCATAGTGCCTCATGTGCATTATTGTAATCATCCGGATTTAGTGTACCCGAAAAATAAATTCGATCGGCTTGATTTCTAATAAATTTGGAAAATTCGTCATCATGTAATAGTTCATGATGTATATTCGATCGTTGAGTATCGTTTTTGCTTTCACATCGAGTGACGATGAGAACGAAGTTTGAGCAAAGTTGTTCTTCTTGATGGTGTGGGTGTGGGTTTCAAATTTATTAGAAACACTCACAACCACACCCACACCCAAAAATACCATCATCACGACGAAGAAATGCAGGTACTTGACAATGATGGAACAACAATCTATTACGAATAAAAAATTTTAAAAAAAATCTTACAAAAATTAAACTTACTTTACTATCTTGTTCAAGTTCTCTATGTAACCATTCAAAATCTGAATAACGGCGACGTACAGAACATTCTTTTAAATGAAATACTGGTAAATTTGTCTATAATAAAACAAAATATGTATTAGAATAATGAAAGAAAACTATTTTACTCTCATTCGAATTTCATAATCCGCATATCTTAAGAACTTCAATTTCAAGAAAATTAGCTGGAGGATCATAACGATCTTCAAGTGGAATCTAAATAAATGAAGAAAGATCAATAAATCGAAATTCATCTTTTATTTATCATTACGGGTCTTGATGGTAATCGAGCAATTTCTCGTCGATTATCAGCATCGATTGTTACCATTGGTTAAATTGATTGATCTTTCAAATTAGTAATAAATATACAATATGACAATAATAATAATAAAAGTTATAGGTCTGAAGTGTTCTCCATTCATTGCTTTTCTTCTTAGCAGTAGCAATATATTATTTGAGATACATTTGAAGTGACCTCTTAAATGTTAACATATTTCATTGGCTTCAATCTTTAACTATACCAAGAACCGCTAGAATGATATTTCTCTTGGTAATAGATTTGTCACATGAGCATAAAATAACTTCAATTGAAAATTCTTTGTTTAATGCGTTCAAAAAAAACTAATGAAGAAAATATTTATCAGACATAATATTACAAGATTGTGACAAAGGGCTATGCTACATTCATCTTCCACTATGTTTTATCAAATGATTTTTTATTGACTTTTTGCCATAAGATACTCATTTCTCATTGGATATCGATGTGAGCGAAGTGAAGGTCAAGACCCACACGCTGCTACACCCTTGCTCTCAGCTTTAGTTAATATTGGTTTTTATTATTCTCATTTGATTATTGAAACTAAATCAATCATTACTATTAGATGAACTGACTCGTGTTGCTATCCTATCGAATGTATCATTCAATACGATAAAATATATGATCTGTCCAATATCACAAGAAATTCAATACAGATTGAATAGTTAAACAAAAATGTGTTTTTCCTCAAGATCCGCGCCAATAAGACTGGCTTGTGTGCGTTCTTAACAAGAACCATAGGCACAGCAATCATTCAATGATAATGATGGTAAAATTTTCTTTATTAACAATTCCAAGCGAATATCGAATACAACTTGATACATAAAATGATTCCTGGTAGCCCTTTTTTGGCTACCGACTTGACACTTACATATACTAATCAAAACCAAATATCAAATAATGAAGAGAATACTCAAATTGAACAAAATCCTATGAAATAGTTTATGCAAACACTTTTATTAATTCAAATATTTAAGCTTTCTTTTTCGTTTTCTTTTTCTTTTTCTTTTTCTTTAATCAATTAGTGATTTCAGTTTAATTATTTAGCTTTGACGAGTCAATCTTCTCTTCAAAATTAAATAGTATATAGTATTTAAATTGATTTTTTATAATCTGACAAAGAATTCGGTTTGATTTTTAGTAAACACCATATACTCTGAATCGACAACAAGGGGAGAATAAAAATATCACCAAGGAAATGATTTATATTTTTTGATAGATTATACCAAGTACATCAATAACGATGGGCGCTCCCTATCAAGAACATGTTAGTAAGCTTATTAATTATGATAAACTAAATATGCATTTTATATTATTGTAGACTGATGAAGATAAATTTCTCTATGTGGTTTATAGTGACGAATCGATTTATGGTTAATATGTGTATTGCTCTGTAATGATTACATTTTCATCAAATTTTAGCCGGTAGAACTTTTTCTTGTCTGTATTTTGAGCATTGTATTATTCATTTTTTTACTCATATGCGAATTAGATCTGAACATATTTATTTCTATTTGGTCTAGTAATATATTAATACCCTTGAGTATACATGTCATGTGCCAAGATTAGTATTTGTAAATTTTTCTTAATAAAAATAAATTTTCTGAAATCGATATTGTCTTTATTGCATGATTATCAAAAGATTTGCTTTCTGTTGACGTTAAAACCCATATTTTGGCATGTAACCGATTTCTATTTACGTAGACTATCTTAGATTAGGATTCGTTCATACGAGTTGTACTAGTAAATCAAACAACTTTTCCAATAGAATTCGATGCTCTTTATCTATTGGAAATCTGATTGCAGTATGCCGAGGAAACTTACTAATCACTTGATAATTAACAACTGATCGTGATTGACTACTTTAAGCATGCGTATTGGCATCATGTCATTAGCATATTTCCTGCTCTTCCTATGGCATTTTCATTTTGCAGATAAAGAGAAGGTATAGAATGGAAGAGGGAACAAGAGAGACAGGGAAAAACACCCATCTTGCTGCTTTTTTTATTCTTTTTGGTTCCAGTTCGTTACATGGAAGGGTATGGGTGTGGGTGGGTGTGAGTGTTTCTAATAAATTTGAAACCCACACCCGCACCCTCCAAAGCAGTTTTAAATTATTCTTTTGTTTTGTTGATGAACCAAAAGAAAAAAATCCTTGCAGCAATTTGAATACACAGATTGTCTCGAAATAATTGTTGCTCATCAATCTATTCCTTTTACATCGAATCAAGTAAACATGTATTTATCGATGCACTCATCTAATCTTTTTCATAACATACTTAAAAAAATGAATCGAGTGGTGTTAAAAATTAGTTGCTCATCTCTCTCATTTTTATTAGTTTCTTTTTGGATTTATCATTCAAGTTTAAACTTAATAATAAGTTCGAATAAAATGTAATCATTGTTTTTTATGCGTTATCCAGCCTTTTTATGTGACATACCAATTCAGCGATTATTTTATTTTATCTTTTTTTTTTAATCTAATTTGCTGTTCAACAATCAGATATATGAGTAAGGTAACAAATATTTTCATTCGCTTTATAATTTTGATGTGACTTTACTAGTCAACATTTAAAAGTAAACATTGATAGATGTATAATCATCAAGTATTTTTTCTAGATACTCTTTATTGATCTTTGCTATTAAAGATCTGAATTTTATGATGAGTTCATATATCATCATTTTTCATATTCTTCATTTAGATTGCTATGTATAGCAATCTCAACTTTGTTCTCTGCTTAAATAAAACACTCTGTATTGAGTTTTAACTATTTTTTAAGACTCACTTAATATTTAAATTTTAGGATGAAGAAAAAATCAACATTATATTACGTTGTTCTTTATTCAGATTCATTAGCGAACGTTTCGAAATGATGATATATCAAAGAATATATGATATTTATTTTTCCTTATCTAGGGTTATAATCGCGTAAGTGCAAATACAGATGAGTTAAAACATAAGTTTCGTTTGTTTTTTTAATGTTGTTTAGATTTATCGTTCACAATACAAGTATAATTGAAAGTTGAAAAAGATTTAATTGGCAATTTTTATTATTATTTAGATACGCACAACTGGATGAGAATTAATTTCTTGAAAATTATTCTATCTTCGCCAATCATCACAATCGGCTATTAAATAACAAGAGCAGGAAATGAAAAAAGACAATAAGAGAGAGGATTAAATGATATCTTGTGTCCAGATGTAAATCCAATAGAATCCTGTTGGATTCTATCATTATGATTTATTCACTTCAAATTATATTTGAATATTAATTTCAGTCGATCAATATACAGAAATCTCTGTTGTCAGTGTGAGGATTTTACGATTATTGTACATTCATAGCTGCGAAAAATGAAAGAATTGAAAGTGGACTATGGAAAATGAACGTAAATCACAAGCGTGAAACATAAAACTACGAGTAAAGATAGCATATAGTCACGCCCAAAAGTTTCCAAAGTCGAACAACTTTGTATCTGACTAGAATGTGCAGGCCATAGGCGAACAATTAATACCATCGACGAATAAAACTTGTTGCTGTAAGGGAAAAACTCGAACATGATACGGATCTTCTTAGTATTGCGTCTTTATTCCAGTTTCACGTGTTTGTCGGTGATCGGAAACCATCCGGCGACTCTTTGACAAACCATGGAAAACCAGCTCTCTAATAAAAAAATAAAAAAATGCAGCATTACAGCAATGAATCGATTATCAATATAAGTTTTCCTGTGTACAAATTTCCGTAGTGTTTCTCTCTTATTCAGACGAATATCTTACAATAAGTTTCTTTAAAGACTTTTGCTTTAATCTATCTATTTAGCAAATGGATGAAGAAACGATCGCCCATTTCATTCGTTATGTATACGAGACTAATGGCAAAGTCGCACTGCAGAGAACGACTGTTGATAACCAATGGAAACACATCATTGCATGATGTTGACTAATGCCATTAGATTAAGACATATTTCATTACACATTAGAAATAGAATATTCCGATATTTGCAATTTCTATAACCACTATAAATTGAAATATCTTTTCTCAATATATTGAAATCGATTTCGAATATACTCACTACATTGTTGCTTTTTTATTTCACTTAGCAAACTCAAATATCTCTTGTGCACCCCAAAGTACTCGAAGAGAAATATCAGTCTAGAACTATTTCTGGCTGTTGTAATTTATATATCTGTGTAGGTGTATTTATTTTACAGGACTCTTACTTCTATCTATGTCGTAATCGTTACGGTCATGAATAGTTGTTGTTGGTGGTGGTGCTGTTGTTTGGCTTATTTGTACATTTTCTGTTTCAATACCTTGATTCTAAACGAGCAAGTGCAAACATTATCGTAGGGTAGGGTATATGGTACGAAAGACTTGTACGCTATAGGATTCTATCTTCTAACCGAGCTACTCACCTGTTTTTTCATCAGGAGATTGGCGTAACTATATCAACAACAACAAACATTTACAATTAATTAATGAGCTAAAATTACACCTACTTCATGCACCTGTATTTTTAATTGTTGATATCGTTCTAAAACATGTCGTTTTATTTCGAGGTCCGTAGGTTTTCTCAATAAGATTGATGTGGCGACATTTGATGACTTCAGTTGAACAATTCTTAACATAACATTATCTTCATCATCACTTGGTATTATTTGAAGCACTGTACATGTTTATCTAAATATTGAAAATGATTTATTATTTTAGTATAATATGTAAATGTGTACATACGTTGCATTAGAATCATCATTCAAACATAGCTTCATGAGATCAACGATGTCGATAAAATATTGGTGTAGATTTGTTGGTATTTTTTTATTTATTTTCAAACTAAAACAAAAAGTCAAGTTATGTTTATCGTAAGCTATGACTTACTGTTGCAATTCGATATCGTTGATACTCGTAAAAAAATAATAAAACGGATTCTTGACATCTGTTATTTTAATTACAAGATTCTAAAATTGTAATGATCATAAATATAAAAATCTATATATATGAGATAGACTTACATTTTCGTCTTGTAAATTAAGGTAGAAATAAATCTTTCTATAAACAAAACCAAATTACAAATAATTTTAATTCAATTAATGCATACTTTTTTGTCGATATACCATATAATGCTATTTCCGATTGAATGTTTTCACAATAGTGAAGCGTGCTCATCAACGTCAAAAATTTAATAGATGATACAGCAAACAAACTTATGTTCATGTGTCACCCATAGCAGCCACAATTGGAGAACAATATTCTCAAATCAAGTCGAGCGCCATCGATGCGCGGTTATTGGTGGTCATGTGAAGTGAGCTGGAGTAAGCGTCATCTGGAGTGCAGTCCATGTCCATACTTTATCTATATTTCTGTATATATGCAGCAGAAAGAAAGAAATAGGTGTCACTACGTATATTCTCTATAAATATATGCATGCATGAACTATTTTAACATAATTCAGAAAGTATTGAATCTACATGTTCAACAGCTTAAAATTGAAGAAGTTTATAATAAGTTTTTTTTAAATCTGATGTTTTATTGCGATAATTTAAAATCCGTGCAGTACAAAAAAAGATACAACAATACAATAATCAATAACAAAAAATAATAATACAAAAAGTAAATGAAAAAACATAAATAGATCATCATTTAGCCTTCAGGTACTTGTTTTATCTGGCACTGCTTTTGTCATCGGTTTAATCTTAAAAAATGAAACATTAAACGCATTGATCGGTTTAATAGAGATAGGAAAAACATACCGAAAAGAATCTATCACCGTCTTGAATAAGTAAATGTGTTGCACCATCAACATCGGTACGAGAGACGATCTTCATCTTCCCTTGAGCAGTCTTATTGAGATTCTAAAAGAAAAGCATTCATATAGTTTGATAAAAAAAATCATTTAAGTCAAGCTAATATAAATGTTCATAAAGAAATGCATGAAGCTCCTATTGAAAAAGTCAATACAACTTTTACTTTTATTAGAAAAAAAAGACTTCAGTTTGTATGAGAATATTTCTAATAATCGACTGATACTCAACAACTTATAGTCATATTTAGTATTAGAACTTCAAATACCTGACGATAAAAAATTAAAATTGTGCTACTGGTATCTAGAATATCATTTAATTTTGTGTATGATAAATCAGCAGCAACTGAATATGCATCACCCGTATACTGTAATAATTTGTTGGATTCTTTTTTAACGATAATAATTGTATCACTATATCGACTAATCATTAAACATGATGTTGGAGTATATGAATGTTGAAAATTATTGATATCTGTTAATGTGATGTCACCTTCAAAAAGATCTTTTGGTCGAATACTTCGATCAGCATAGTACTAAAAATAAAAAAGAATTAATGATTATTTCATAAGAGTAATATTGAAGCAAGCAATCTTATAGATGTACTGAATTCGCTAGTTTCTACATATTTAGTAATTTAGAGATAAATAGTAGTGGTGATAAAACAGTATGGAGCAAATATAATAAGTCTAAGAAATATTTTATTCAGCAAATGATATCATATCTTTTTCAACATATATATCAACAAACATTTGTTTCTTATTTTGAAAAGCTCTAAGATGATCTTCTAAACCAGTTAATTCTTCTACTCATACGAGAAAAACAAAACAAAAGATTCATACCATAGTGAAACATCTTGTAAGTAAGATCTTGGCCAAGATCTTGGGTACAGATAAGTGAACAGATCTTGAAAATTTAGGTACAAGATAACTGTATTATCTTGTACCCAAGATCTTATTACAGATCTTAAGTAAGAATTCATAANTCAAAATTCGTATACGGAAATTTAAAAAAATAATCGATTCTAATGAATCTTAAAGTGGATCATTTATTTTTAAATCTTATTCTCACTACTTTCGAATATTCGGCTCGTGTGCTTCGCACCGCATTTCGTAGTCGAGTGAAACTCGAATACCATCTAGTTCATATTTACTTTTAACAAAAAGCAAAGAAAATACGCTAGCTAATTAAATCATATTTTATTTTAAAAAAAAAGGAGAAGAATGTGAAGATATTACATCATTAAATAATCCGTTTATCATCATCTTTATACTTTCAATATTTACTAAATATTAAGGGTGCACCAAAACCACTTTTATGTGCATAAAGATTGTAAATTTTCATCATGAAAACTGCTCAAAGTCAACTCAATCTTTGTGTGAGTTATAAACAATCTTTTTCACTCTACCTGATATGAATATTATAGGTACCAAGACTAATAGAAAAAGTTCTCAGGTGTGGTAGGTCTTGATGAAAAATACGACAATTTTCACCAAAACTTGCATATTTTATCTTTTGTTATGGTAATTATATGGCCAGTACCAAGTAGAGCAAACAAAGCTGATTATAACCGTTACAACGATTTGGTTGATCTTAGGGGGTTTCTTATAACCAAAATGTATCATCGTTATGTTGGTAAAAGCGGTTTTGGTGTATTTCTACTAAATATTCATTATCATTTTGACTATTGTTTATGAGGTCGTGTGGTTTAAATTTTTTCTTAGTTGATAAACTATTTAAGATGATGCTATGATATTTTCGTTTGAATTCTTGATAAGTATTTGTTACAATATAATTGATACAATATTTCTCCATCAAAACGCTCATATGTTTTTGTAAAAACATCAATTTGCTCAACTCTGACAGATGGGATCATTGAATGATGAAAAACTTTCTTTTCTCTAAAATACTGTATAACATTCGTGATCGTGATCAAAAATATCAATCACACAGGACATTATATTTATGTCGTTTGTTTTCTCATTCTAAGCTTTTTTTTATATTAAAATTATAGAAAAATGTTAGAAAATATTCTATTAACTTACGAAAAAAAGGAAAAATTTTTTATGAAATGTAACAAAGTATCGAAAGATTTGTCAATGAACTCAATGTGTCGCTCAACAAAGATTATGTCCGATCGCCTTTGTTTTCAATATACACATATACAGATGAACGATAATGATTGCTGAAGACGAATTTTCTTTCGAATGTACAACCACGTTTCGTGTTGATTTGTTTTTTATAAATATATTTCTTCTGAATAAAACGAATTGTTTATCAGAAAGCCATGATATTATGGCTCTCATTGGTGGAATAGTAGTATTTAATGAATGAAATTCTTCATTATTTCGTCCCTTCAGATTTGATTGAACAACCAATATGACACATAAAATCATTCACGATAATAACGACTGAATTTATAATTCGCTAACTAATATTTGTCTTCTAATGTTTATTGAAATAGTGCATGAAATTTATTCTATAATGTAGACAAACTTAGTGTACTTATATCATAAATCTCAAAGTAAATATTGTAAAATTTGCTTAATTTATATGTTAGAAATTAGATCCTGTTTCTTTCATCCAAGGGAAATATTGAATATTCTCTGCCAACGATGTTTTCTTTTGAAAAACTTATGGTGCTCTGAGAATAAAAATTCTTGCTATGATCAAGTGAATTTTGCATGCTATTAATATTTATGAAAAACAATTCTTCGAAAGTCTCAGTACAGTTATTGATCGAAGTTCGCTGTTTAAGCCTTCACCGATGCAAATACAATGGATGTTCGAAAAACATTTTGTTTAGTTATCTAAAATAAACAATAAAATATTTTGATGTTTTATAGAATGAGAAAGAAGTTATTTTAATTCCTGTAATTAAAGTAATTTTACATGTTTCAATAGAATCTCTTGAAAATTAAGTGAGTAGTTGGTCCGTAGGTTCTTTTTAAAGTAAGCATTACTTTTCTTTTGCAACTATTATTTAATAAATGCTCCCATAATAATACACGCATCGTTACGTTCATCTACTATCACTAATGTAAAAGTAGTTAGTCTTGACCAGTTTATAAAAACTTTCCGTTGCTCTTGAAAGTGAGGGCGTGCATGATTTTAGTCCACTAAATCTCGATTAACTTTGTAGAATAGAATAGGTTTTTATTGAAAAAAAATATTCTAAAGAACCAAAAAAAAGACTGGAAATGATTCAAAGAATTTAAATAGGTCTCGCACTGAATTGGATTCCAGGTTCTGGTCTAGGATCATTGAGTAATTGCATAAATTTCTTTTTCATGAATCGACGAACAGCATGATTCAATATAAGTTTCAAACTTGTTATCAGGATCAGACAATACACTATTCTTTCGTTTAGCAAGCCGTTTTGTTGTACAAAAATTGCCGATGCTACTGCTCCTGCTAGCACGTTGATGATGAAATCACATAATAGAACTGTAGATGGAAAAAAGGTTGAAAGACAATCAAAGATGGTAGAAAAGCATGAGACTGTTCCCAGGATGAGCGTTACTACTGTCGTAAACGATCGTATACGACCGTCGTAGAAATAATATTTTCAGAAATATATTTTTACTTAAAAATAAACGATCACCTGTTTCATGGTACTACGCCCTCTATAAAGTTAATGGAAAATCATAGGCCGTAACAGAATTCATTGAAACAGACGACCAAATTACTATCGTATACGCTGATCGTTTACGATGATCGTGTATGACGGTCGGTTTCTGCCGTATTACGCCGTGTACGGTCGTTTACGATCGTAGGTTTTCGACCTGAGTTTGTTGATAATTAAAAGAATGAGCTTTCTTTTCATCATGGCTTTAATATTAACGTCTATAAAAATACCTCGAATAAATTAGAAAATGTGCTTTGTACAGCATTTTTACTCATAAAACTGATAAATCTCAAACTCTAAGACTTTGTTTTATATCATCAGCATTTTAAACCCAAAAAATCACTTTCTTCAGAGTGAACTAGAACGTCCATTTTTTTTTATTATGTAGTTCAGCAGAAATTATTTTAGTTTTGTCTCGATCAGGATATCATCGATGAATATTATGTTTATTCGAGGATTAGCACTATCGTCAAATTGACAGAACACCATAGAGGTAAAAATTTCAAGATTTCTTGGAATTTTCTTTTATTGAATGGAGTCTTAGTTTTTACTTAAATATATTTTTTTACAAACGTTTTCCCTCTATATATAATCGTTTTATTGGAAGCAGTGAAACATATGATAGATCACTCTTTCCTCAAACATAGTTAACGAAACAAAAATTAATTTCTTCATTTCCAACTAAAGAATAATTGTTTTCTTCCAACTATAATTATGAGCAAAGACTTTTCATTTACAATATCCATTGATCAAGTCATGACAGTAATTATTGACAGTTAGCAAAGCGTTTAGATGTTTGGTAACAGACACAGAGTTGATGGGGAATTTGATTTTGCGGCAAAATCAGATAAGAACGTATATATATATATCGAACAAATTCAACCCCTACCAGATAAATCGAACAAATTCAACCCCTACCAGATATATCGAACAAATTCAACCCCTACCAGATATATCAACCATATCAGTAATGCAACAATATTAATGATAGAACAATATAATAGGCTCATAGATACTGATAGTATTAGTACAACTGCGGTATTGCGGTACTGCGGTATTGCGGTATTGCGGTATTGCGGTATTGCGGTATTGCGATACTGCGGTATTCGCGGTATTGCGGTATTCGCGGTATTGCGGTATTCGCGGTATTGCGGTATTCGCGATGTTGAAAGTGTTGACGAATCTTTGAATGAAAGATTTGTTAATATGCAAAACAGCATGATATTCAAGTCTTGAAAATACTTATCGGCTTCATAGTTATGTCAAGTGGCATAGAAATTTTGTCGTCTTTGCTGATTCGGACAGAATGCAGTAGGGGGATAATTATTCATAATATTAGCAACATGGTCGACTTTGGCTTATTTTCATGAAGCTGTTGGTATTGTTTCGCT